TTGAGCTATAGGCGCCGAGCCTTAAAATGTTTTTCATGAAAAATTTCAATCAAATCAAATAGTATAACGGAAACCCATGTATCTATCAACGTTTACCATTCCCATATGCTGACAACTCCCAAATGTCACCTGCAGCCCAGATACCTCCTTTGAGGAGTCATATAGCCAACTACCTATTTGGCATTCCATTTGAATAGCACCCAGCCTTTTCAAATTTTACCAAGTTCTAAACTTCTCTGGATTCCTTCCCCACCCCATCTCCACCTGGATGGTCTTACTTACCTATGTTTTCCAACAGCCAGCAATGCCAGGCACATCATGACTGCTCATAATTATGGAACAAATAATAGTACCATATAACAGTACCAGCATCCACTCACTTTGACTCTGTTCCTTATCCAAATTCAGATTCATCTTTTAAAAACACAGATCAGATCATGTCATACCTGTGTCTCTCCACAGCTCTTAGATAAAACCCATGTTGTACCTTCCATGTCATACCTCAAAGAACCAAAAGGTCAGAGATAGGACTCCAAGGTGAACAACATTTGGTCCTGGGGGAAGTGAGGGTATTCAGTAGACCCAGGTCCAACTCTCAAGTTCACTAGCTTAAAGCCTGGCAAGTATGTTGAGCAAACACTATCAGTTTCAGCTTTCTTTTAGAAAGAAAAAAATTCAAATTTAAAAAATAAGACACATCTAGATGCTGAATAATCATACAAAATAAAAGGAAGGCGATTTGGAAACATAAACATCAAATTGAAATAATTTGGGCATACAAACTGAGCATCAGCTCTGGATGAGTAATGAACCTGAAGCATACAAACTTGGTTCAAACGATTTTTCTAATTATGTTTGTCTTTGAGGTTCCATCTCATTTTTTAAGATGCTGATGTTACTTCTTAAAATTGCTATTAGGATGAAATTAACTAAACCATATTATAAAGCTTCCTGGCCCATAGTAAAAGTCTAATAAACAGATGGTTCTTTTGTTCTTTGGGGTAATTTAAATTACCCAAGGTAATGAAAACGAGAAAGCAAATGTATGGGGAAGTTAGGATGGACTTTGGTTTTTGAATGTGGAAAAAGTATGTGGACATGTCAAAGTGATAGATTCGGACACCCATCTAACCCACTGAGGTTACAAACAAAAAGTTTAAATATGAACCCAAGGCCTAAATACTCAGTGATGATAATTTTACTTTTTGATCCACTATCTGCTTTAAAATTCAAGTCAAAGACTGAGTGCTTTCATCTCACAACCTTCACTGAAGTCTCACGGGGACGATGCATTATTTTCTTTCTTTATCACAACCACCTAAGAGGCAGGTAGTACTACTGTCCTTTGCAGAAGATACCGAGCTTTGAGCGGGCGCGCAACTTTCTCTGCACCGCCGGCAGGAACCCAGCAGGCCGCGTCCGGGGCCTACAGCCTTGGGCGCGCGCTCGGTCACGGACCTGGCCCTGGCCCGGGTCGCGCCGGTCAAAATCCCGCAGGCCAGACAGGCGCAGCGGGCAGACGTAGCCTCCGAGCCGAGCAACCAGCGCCTTCTCCGGCGAGGGCGGGGCCGGGCCCGGGCCCATCCCCGCGGTGACCTTGAGCACGGCTGGCGAGGAAGGCACTCCAACCGCGCCAAGGCTCCGGCCCGCCCCGACCCTGCCGCACGCGGCCTCGGCTCCCGCCGGTGCGAGTGCGGCCGGGCCACAGACCCGCGGCAGAGACCCCACGCCCACCGCCCCGCTACGGCCTCTCCCCGGCCGCTTCTGGAAAGGAGGACGCTGCTCACCGGAGCCCGGGCAGGAGGCTGCTGGGGGTGGTCTGCCGCAGGAGGCCCCCGGCCCAGGCCGTTCCGTGGGCGCCCAGCACTCGCGCCGCCATCTTGCTCCGGCGCCTCGGCTCCCACCGCCCGGGCGCCGCAGCTGACGCCGCCGCCGCGACCCCTCCCCCGGCCGGGCCCCGACAAGGCTAGGGCGGGGCGGGCCCGCGGCCGCAGCAACGCCGGGCGCCGCCGCCAGGGGGAGCAGGGCGCGGCCGCGAACCCCGCTGGGCCGGGCCGCTGAAAGGAGGTGGTGTGAAGCCCCAGGGGACGCAGTCGCGACACAATCATTTCCAGCGAAAGGAGCTCGGTACCCAGAACAGGGTGTGAGAGGAGCATGGGCATGGCTTGAATGTGCACAGACAACTCCACAGAGGAGTAGCACTGTTCCAAGGGGAACCCAGGACCTGCCTGGGGGAGGGGCGGCAGGAGGGGAACTTCTCCGGAATATCTTTTTAATTTTGTATCATGTGAACATATTGCCATTTCCAAAAAATTTAACACTCTATTAAAAGCATTCTGAATGGAAATATACTGAAATTCTATTGTGGTCTCGCGACCGCATCGTTACTGTTCATTTCAGCACTGAGAGGCGTAGGCCCCGGACCCGCTCTCACGCCGTCTGGGTCTATCTAGTGGGGACAGAATGTGAAGTGATGATCGGAGCAAGTGTGTCAAGTATTGAAATAGGAGAGGTTCACAAGGCGCCCAACCAGCGCAGGAGAGTCTGCAACTGGGGTGAACAGACCTCGAAAAATTTCCCAGAGGAGGTGGCAGGATACCTGGGTCCCAAGGGAAGAGCTGAGCAGTGGAAGGGAGGACGTCTCTGGCAAAAGAAAGAATTTAAGGAAAGGCGTGTGTCCAGGTGACGTTGCATAGGGGAAAAAATGTATCCTGCGGGAAGATAAAAGAGTCAAAATGTAGCTATGAAAACTGTAACCAAGACAAGATGAGCAAAAAGGAGCTAGACACTGAGTTGAGGAAGAGAACCAGGGGGAAGGACAGTGTGCAGCTGCGAAGGAGAGCATTTCAGGGAGGCCAGCACAGGATTTGGGGGTCTCTGCATAAGAGGGTTGGGGGAAGAGAATGGCTTTGCAGACTGAGTTCTCTAAAGCTGGTACTCTTGGGGTGCAGGAGTTTTCTGACTGGGTAAGATTTTGAACATGTTAATATGGAAAGGAACTACCAGGGAGGACAGAGCTATGCCCCAGACCAGGAAAGGGACTTGTCCCTTGGAGCCAGAGGCTGTATAGCCGAGGGAATTCCTGACCTCAACTAGGGGATGCTTATTAAGGCTGTGTAGACCCAAGAGAGAGGTAGAAGTGAGCTTCTCCCAGGACAGCATGGACTTGGGCCATTTCTACAGAGCAAGAGACAGGCTCATCTGCATTTTCTCACACATTTCCCCAATTTCTCAGATCTGTTCTCCTGAAATGTAAAGTTTGTAACTAGACATTTCTTTGCTGACCTTGGTTTTGTTATTTTGCATTAGGCCACTTATTCTGCATTGTTTTCCTCCACTTGTCATCCACTTTGGTGTTCCATTCACCCAAGGAGGCACTCTAATCTCACAGGTGTGGCTTAGGGCACTCCAACAGAATAAACCCAGCAAGTCTTCCTGGAGCATAATTTTTACATCAAAACTTTTAGGAAAAAATGTTGTCTAAATAAAAATGATACCATTACAAAGCATATAAAACCCTTTTAAATATTTGATATGGCGTGGACTCTGCCCCACAGCTGATGGCACAGGTGTCATCATTTTCTGGAAGAACCACCTGGAGGTGCCTGAGATGCTGAGCACTACACAGGCCCACCTGCCAGAGACTTATATACTCTAAGATTTTCCCTCACTTCCACTCCCCCAGGCACCAAACTGAAAGTCATTCTTGGAACAATTATCTAGGTCTTAAGACTGGTTTTTGAATGGCAATGATGCAAATCTAATTATATCATTCTTTTAAAAACCTTAATGTACCTGGCTTGATGCCTGTGGCTCAAGTGGCTAAGGCGCCAGCCACATACACTTAAGGTGGCTGGTTCGAATCCAGCCCGGGCCCACCAAACAACGATGGCTGCAACCAAAAAATAGCTGGGTGT